CTCCAGACACTGCTGAAGGGAATGGTCCAACCAGAAGCTGCCCAGAAGGCGTCCGGCTTCTCACAGCTGTTCCTGTTCCTGGAGAGGGCCTGTCAGTGGCAACACTGTAGTGGACTTGCCCTCTGGCCAAGGCACGGGAACAGACTTCACCACTTGCTAGCCTTTTCTAACACCCAAAAAACTGAGCCAAAGATGTTGGCAGACGTTTCTAATCACACTAACTTGTAGATGTGCAGTGGGCCTCCCAGCTTTCTGGTTTTCAAAGCAGTATTCTGAGGTCCGAACAACATTTGACCGTTTTGAGGGGAGATATTTTTAGAGAGGTATTTTTATAGATGCCTTTCATACTGGAAATACATTATTTGTATGCTGCTGCACACTGAACATTTTTCCCTGCAACCAGTTCAAAACATTCCAGCCAAAACCTTATTTGAGAAATGTTTGAACATTTCTCAAAAACGTATCTATCAACTGAGCCGACCCAGAAGGCTTCCAGAGCTGCCGAGTACTTGGGTTGTATTTGGAAGACCGTCGTCTCCTGGTAAAGAAACGTTCTGGAGGTTTTGCTAAATGACTCATGCCAGCCTTAAACATTGTTAAATCTAATAAGTGTGGCCGGTGCCGCGGCTCACTAGGCTAATCCTCCACCTAGTGGCGCCGGCACACCGGGTTCTAGTCCCAGTCGGGGCGCCGGATTCTGTCCCGGTTGCCCCTCTTCCAGGCCAGCTCTCTGCTGTGGCCAGGGAGTGCAGTGGAGGATGGCCCAAGTGCTTGGGCCCTGCACCGCATGGGAGACCAGGAGAAACACCTGGCTCCTGGCTCCTGCCATCGGATCAGCGCCGTGCGCCGGCCGCAGCGCGCCGGCCGCGGCGGCCATTGGAGGGTGAACCAATGGCAAAGGAAGACCTTTCTCTCTCTCTCTCTCTCTCTCACTGTCCACTCTGTCAAAAAAAAAAATAATAAATAAATAAATAAAAAATAAGTGGTGACTCGCTACGTGCGGGGAGGGTTCTGAGCCAAGTCTTGACCGGTGCGTGCCGTGCTCCAGGACCCCAGGCTTCCCCCCGTTGAGGACTCTCCACCCATCTCGGGAGAGGGGGGCACTGCACACTGTGTCGTTCCCTCATTCTGAGACCTGCACCAGGCAGCACTCAGAAATGTGGACACGTCAGCGTGAGTAGAAACCTTGGAGAGTGCTCACAATAGGGCTGGTGTGATAGAAACCCCACTTGGCTTTGGGCAGCGACAGTGGTGGGGTTAGGGCCCAGAGGACCTGCAGACTTTGCAGCTGATGCCAGCAGCGGCTTCTGGGAGCTTGGAAATGCACCAGCAGCGCCTCTGCTAACCTGGGCATTCCCAGTAGGTCCTCCCACTCACCCATGCATGGTTGGGGTTTTCACCATGGTACAAGTGAACAGCAGAAACTCCCATTCCTGAGCGCGTGGTAAGAGACGGCCTCTTGCTCCTTGATGGGGGAATGTAAGCTTTAAGTGTCAGATCCTCACTATAAATCTTTTTTTTTTTTTTTGTAAAGATTTATTTGAAAGAGAGAGTGGCAGAGACACAGAGAGAAGTCTTCATCTGTTGGTTCACTCCCCAGATGACCGCAACAGCTGGAGTTGCGCTGATCAGGAGCCAGGAGCTTCTAGGTCTCCCATGTGGGTGCAGAGGCCCAAGGACTTGGACCATCTTCTACTGCTTTCCCAGGCCATGCAGAGAGCAGGATTGGAAGAGGAGCAGCCAGGACTAGAGCCGGCGCCCATATGGGATGCCAGCGCTTCAGGCCAGGGCTTTAACCTGCTGTACCACAGTGCCGGCCCCAACTCACTCTAATTCTTAACTTAGGTGGGGAAACCCCACTCACCCACAGCTTCAGCCCAATGCTTGAGCCAGAGAGGGATAAGATAGATAGCAGGATCAGGTGGCATTTCAAGGGGCCTCAAGCTTGCTAGAAAAAGTGGGGTTCTGGGTATGGGGGAAGAACTCCCTCTGGGCACCCCAGAATAAAACTCCCAGAACATCAGGTAGGACGTGCACGTTGCGCCCAGTGCTGGGGGAACTGTGGGAGGGCGGGGCCCAGGAGGCGCTTCAGGTGGATGAGTCGGGTTGCTGTCTGAAGAGATTCTCTGAGTAAGGGCTGCTGCAGGCTGAGGGCAGGGAAGGAAGCGTGGATCCCGGCAGCATGTGGCGTGTGGCTGCGTGCCTCCCGTCTTCCCTCAGAACCCCAGTTATCCATTGTGTCTGCCGTGGCTAGTGGACGTGAGGCCCAGGGCTCGATGGGGAAACCCCTGAACTGTGCCCACAGTTGGGCTGCAGGCCATGAAGGCATCAGACAGGTAAGGGGAATCTAGATGGAAGCTAGCATCCGAGGTGGGAGCAGCCCCTGGGGCCGCAGAAGAGTGTGGTTCAGGACACGAGGTGAGACTAGGCTGAACACGTCTTGAGCGTGTCCAGCTGCCCAAAGATCAGACTGGTTAACTTGTGAGGAGGATAAGCCAGAAGCCCCTCCATTCTCCAGCAGTGAGACCCACGGAGCAGTGTGTCCGAGCCAGCTTGTCCAACCTCGTGCTAACTCCTCAGGGATCCCTTGTGGACAGTATGAAGTCATCTAGATGGCAGTCTTCTAGGGTAAATTGGCAAGTGCTACAAACGGTGGCTCCTGCTTTATAGAAATTGCTCCCCTGAGAGCTGGTTGTTCACTTTCCCAGCATACCACTGGACCCAGGAAGACACATAAACTCAAAGAGTCAGAGGGCAGCAGTGAAGGCTGGACAGTGATTGCACGGGCCACGCTCAGGTCTCTGTCCCTTCTCCCCGGCCACTCTGCTCAGTTCAGCACCTTTAGTGAGGATGCTAAAGCAGCCCGGGCTTAGGGACACCCCGGTAATGTCGAGATGAGCCCCCACGATGTGAATGCCACTTTCCAGCCGCTCTGCATTACAATGCTACGAGGCCCACACCATTAAATATCTTGAATATGAATACATAATTGCCCAATATTCCCCACTTCGTGAAAATACTGTATTCTGATGTTTAACATTGAAGATCAGGCCGGTGCCGTGGCTCACTAGGCTAATCCTCCACCTAGCGGCGCCGTCACACCGGGTTCTAGTCCCGGTCGGGGCTTCGGATTCTGTCCCGGTTGCCCCTCTTCCAGGCCAGCTCTCTGCTGTGGCCAGGGAGTGCAGTGGAGGATGGCCCAAGTGCTTGGGCCCTGCACCCCATGGGAGACCAGGAGAAGCACCTGGCTCCTGCCTTTGGATCAGCGCGGTGCGCCGGCCGCAGCGCGCTGGCCGCGGCGGCCATTGCAGGGTGAACCAACGGCAAAGGAAGACCTTTCTGTCTCTCTGCCTGTCCAAAAAAAAAAAAAAAAAAATGAAGATCGTAGATTGTCGCTGTTTCCAGATTTTGTTGTTGTTATCTGTTACTACTATTAATGCACGGAATGAGTACACTAGAACACCAGGGTGCTTGAGAGAGAGAACACTTGCGGAACATGAAATTAAAAGTTTAGGCGCTGTGGTACGGTGGGTCAAGCCTCCACGTGCGCATGGCAGAGTAGCGACCTGCCTTCCCATCCAGCTCCTGGCCAGTGTACCCGGGGAACAGCAGGTGATGGCTCCGTGTTTGGGCCCCTGCCACCCCCGTGGGAGACCCAGACGGATCCCTGGCTGGCCCAGTCTAAACCGTGGGAGTGAACCAGCAGTGGGGGAGCTCTCTGTGTCTCTGCCCCTCTGCCTTTCAACTAAATAAATCTTTGAAATGCACGCTTCTGGGCACTGTTGAAATCCCAAGAGCTCCTGGCGGGTACTGGCTTTATAGGCAGAGCTCTCTGAGCCCCTTCTCAGAAGGCAGATCTCGGGGCAGGACAGACAGGGAGGTAAACGATGCGATGATAAACACAGCTGCATCGTGCCTTGCGCCCCCGGAATGGGCTCTAGGAAGGCCATGGCCGCTGGGAGTGTGTGTGTGTGTACTGGCACCACCCAACGCCTCTTCCGCCACAGCCTTGCCAGGATTTTGGTATTTAAATGTCTATAAGGAAATGTGAGCTGCTTTCTCAGCAGAGAGGGAGAGGTGGTTCCCCTGGATATCTGCTCCCTACAACGCTGACCCCGGCCCCGCGCCACCGCCGGCCAGGAGAGCGCCCCTCGCTGCCTTCCCGCTGGGCCTGCGGGGAGCGCTCCTCCACCCCAGGCCGTTCCCGAGGCACCAGGGCCTTTCTCCCCTTCTCGGGTCGTTGGGAATGGCTGACAAGGGTTTCGTCGCCCATGCTTTGGGGACAAAGCCCTGGTCAGCCGTGACGCGGGAACTGCGACCGCGGCAGGGGTTTCCGGAGCCTCGCAGGCAGGCGCCCTCGCATCTCGAGGTGACGGCCACGCCGGCCACTCCGAGCCTCAGGCCCTGCTTCGGGCCTGCGCCGCCGGCAACCTCGCCCCAGGACCAGTCCCCAGCCACGCCCCCGGCCGCCCGCGCCCGCGCCTACCCCGCCCGCCAGGTAGGGCCCCGGCTGCCACAGGGCCCCGGCCCCGGGCCACGAGCCGCGGGGTCACGCCAGGTCCCGAGAGCGCCGCTGCGCGAGCCGCACGGTGGCCTTCAGAGGGCCGGGAAGGATGGGGCAGGATGTGGGCAGCGCCGCCGACGGCGCAAATCTCCGCGGGCGCGCCGCGGGCCCCCTCCTAGGCCGCAGTTCTGCCACCCGGGGGCCGCCTCGCAGCTGCCCGCCCCGGCGCCCGGGCCCAGCCTCCGCGCCCCAGAGGGCTCCCGGCGCCGCGCGGACACCGCGGCTCCGCCGCCGCCACTCCCCCCACATTCCAGAGGCCGCAGCGCCGTCTCCTTCCTCGCATTCCTGCCCCCGCAAAGGAGTCCCTCCGCCCCCGGCGCGGCCCGGGAGGGGAGGGGGCGCGGTCCGGCGCCTCGGAGCGCACATTCCTCCGCCGCGCGCGCCACCGGCCGCAGCGCCGCGTCCCCCGGCCCGCGCGTGGCCGGCGCAGCGACCCCGGCCCCGGCGCCGGCCCCGCCCCGCCCCGCGCCCAGGGGTCCCGGGGCGGGCTCCGGGCTTCGGGCGGACGATGCGGCGGCGCGGCCGGAGCGGCGGCGGGAAGCGGAGGCGGAGGTGACGCGCCGGGGCCGGCGGGCCGGGCCGGGCCATGCAGCGCTCCCGGGCGGCCGCGGACGAGGCGGCCCTGCTCCTGGCCGGGCTGGCCCTGCGGGAGCGGGAGCCAGAGTCCGGCGGCGACTCTCCGGGCCGCGGGCGGCGGGGGCCGAGGCCCGGGCCGGGAGACGAGGCGGCGCCAGCGCTGGGCCGCAGAGGGAAGGGCGGCGGCGGCGGCGTTGGCCCCGAGGCTGGGGCGGACGGACCGAGCCGCGCGGAGAGGGGCCCCCGGCGCGCGGCGGCCCCGGAGCTCAGTGCGCAGCCGGCAGGCAGCCCGCGGGCTAGCCTGGCGGGCTCCGACGGCGGCGGCGGCGGCGGTGGCGGCGGCGGCAGCGCGCGCTCCAGTGGTATCAGCCTCGGCTACGATCAGCGCCACGGCAGCCCGCGCTCCGGCCGCTCGGATCTGCGTCCCGGCCCCGGGCCGCCGTCGGGGGGCAGCGCCCGCTCCAGCGTGTCCAGTCTCGGCTCCCGCGGCTCCGCCGGCGCCTACGCCGACCTGCTGCTGCCTGGCGCCGGCCCCGCGCCGGCTCGCTCCCCGGAGCCCGCGGGGCCGGCCCCCTTCCCTCTGCCTTCGCTGCCGCTGCCCCCGGGCCGGGAGAGCGGCGCGAGTGCGGCCGAGCGGCGACTGGAGGCGCTCACCCGGGAGCTGGAGCGGGCGCTGGAGGCACGCACGGCGCGGGACTACTTCGGTGAGCGAGCTAGGGTGGACGGCGTGGGGCTTGACTCTGGAAGGGGCCGGGACCAGGAAGGCGCGGCTGGGACCCGCCAGGCCTTAAGGGTTGGTTTCCAACAGCGGCGGCTTCGCGCCGGGTGCCCAGCGCAGAGGTGCACAACTGTTCCCGGCTTAGAGAGAAGAGAAGGCAGGTGACTGGCAGGGCGAGCCGATTCCGACCGTGGCACCTGCCTCTGCTCGTCCTGCCCCGTGCTGCTGCGAGGTCAGCAGAGGCGCTCGGCCAGCCCCGGCCGTCGGGTGGACGCGGGCGGCCCTGGCTCCTGGCTGTGCTGTGCGCACTGGGATATGGGAGAAGGGATTCCTGCCTCAGACGGATTTGCAAAGCCCAGCAGCCTCACAGCCCGCCCCCGTCTGGTCTCCAGTCCCGTGGACAACTCTGTCCCTTAGGGCCGGGGCTGGGGAGAGCGCTTTTGATAAGCAAGCAAAGCAAACAGGTGAGGCTCTGAAGGGGCCTGGGACTGAGAATGTCCCGGGGTTGGCGTCTTCCAGGCCGATCCAGCCCATGCGGCAGGTTTAGGTGGGCACTCCTGCCAGAGAGATGTCAGGTTGTCCCTCCCTTGCCAGGGGCTGCAGCCCCAGGGCCTACGTTGGGGGTCAGCCTGCCTTTGGGATGGGAAGCACCCCCCACGTGAGGGGTGCGGGGTGGGGGGTTATGGTTTGGGCAGTGTGGTGGCCGCCAGCAGGTGGCCTGGGGATTTAGCAGGCAGGTGCTAGGGTTGTCTTCTGGAGGGGACCCATGCCCGTGCCCTGGAGGAAGAGCAGCTGCGCCTTGCAGGGCCACTCGGGGTGTATGCGAAGTGGTTGTGGCGGGTCCCAGGCAGGTGGTGGTGGAAGTGAAGGGGTCAGAGACCCCCGGGGGTGGTGGGGTGTGTGCTCAGCTGGGCCCTCGGGGCCATGTGGGACGTGCCACAGTGATTCAGTGGGTGTTTGCTGTTGTTTTTTTTTCCACATGAGAAGCCAGAAGTTGAGGTTTAAGTGACATTTACCCTGTTTTTAAAAACTCGGGCAACTTAGAGTGGAATGATGCGATTCTGACACGCTCGGGCTCCTGTGAGCTGTAACAGCGGTTATGTCCAGTCTGGGGACCAGGAAGGAAGTCTGAAGGTGACGTGAACCCATCCTCAGCCACTGAGGGCCCCTCGTCCCTTCCTCTCGCTGGCCGGCTGGGTACCAGCTGCCCTGGCTGCCCTGTGCCAGTCATTGATGTCTTTGGAACCACCCCACGCCCAACAGCGTCTGCCACCCGGAGCCGGCCCTCAGCCTCAGGCCGGCTGTGGTGACCTCCCTGCCCTCTCTCCAGCTGCCCCCTCTCAGGGCCACACCCTGCTTTTGCTTCTCTTCCCCGTGCCCAGCACCTCTGCCACCTCGAGTGGCCCAGCAGAAGCCTGCCCCAAGTCAGGGCTGCAGCCACCCTGTCTGGGCCACGCTGGGCTCTGAGGAAGCCCCGGGACCCTGCAGAGGTGCCGGCTCCACCTGAGCCTTTGGGGGGGTTCCCCTTTTATTCTCTGCACAGCCGTCTTCTCCTCCGACCCAGCCTTGCCGTCTGCCCCCTTCAGAATTCCGAGGTCAGCCGTAGCAGCCAGTGGCCTCCCCATCCTTGCTGGCGGGCTCTCTCCAGTCCACGGCCAGCCTCCCTCTCCTGCCTCACCTCCTCCATCTTCAGCTCCGTCTTCCCATTGGCCCTTTCCTTTGGCTGTAAACATGCAGGGGCCTCCCACGATAAACAAATGCAAAACCCAAGCTCCCGCCCCAAGTCCCTCAGCCCTTTCTGCTCACTGAGAGCTGAGATCCGTCTGTCTTTGCTCACGCACCTTCCAGTTCCCCCTCAGCACCTGCTCTCCACTCCCGCTTGTCCAGCCCAGCTCCTGTGCCGGACACAGGGACCCCCAGCGGGCTCTCACGGCTGTTTGCATGGAGTGGAGCTGGCTCTCCTGCCCCCTTTCCCTGGTGCACCGCCACCTCCCCTGTGTTTTGGTCCAGGTGGTGAAAGCAATAGTTAGAGAAAAAGCAAACACAGCTAAGGAGCTGGTCATCGAGGAGAGAGCCGCCCCCTCGCCCGTCCCCCTGTGCTGTGTCCCGCAGGCAACTCAGGGAAATGCCAAGGTTGGGTTTGCGGTACTGGTGGACAAGAGTGAGGGTGTGAGGACGGAGTGCAGAGTGACAGGGAGAGGTATCTTTTATCCACTGATTTACTTCCCCAGTGCTTGCAACAGCCAGGACTGGGCCAGGCCAAAGCCGGGCGCCTGGAACTCCATCCGGGTATCCATGGGGGTGACAGGGACTCCGGTACTTGAGCCTCAGTGTGTGCATCAGCAGGAAGCTGGATCACAAGTGGAGGTGGGACTCATCCCAGGCCCCCAGTGTGAGATATGGGGGTCTCAAGTAGCAGCTGCAACTCCACTTTTCACTTCTTTTTTTTTTTAATATTTATTTATTTGAGAGAGAGGTCTTCTGTCCACTGGTTCACTCCCCAGATGGCTGCAACGGCCAGAACTGGGCCGATTCGTGGTGTAGGGGCCCAAGGACTTGGGCCATCTTCTGCTGCTTTCCCAGGCCATAGCAGAGAGCTGGATTGGAAGCGGAGCAGCCGGGACTTGAACCCCACTTTCACTTTAGCGCCGCCACTCTGGCCGTAGTCTGGGGGCTGGGTTATTGAGGGCTGGGCCAGGGCCCAGTGAGCAGGCGCTGGGGGCATCTGTTTGCATGAGGCTGGTGTGAGGAGGGAGGGGTGAAGTCAGGATGAGGCAGCAGAGGGCAGGCTTCATGTTCCCCGGGCCCCATGCACAGAACACAGTACCCGGATGTGTGGCTGGGAGACCTCACGTAAGAGCAGCTTTGGGGGGACCTGGGGCTGTTCCCTGGGCCATCTTGGAGGTGGAGTGATTTCTCAGGATGAGACTGGCAGAGCCCAGGCGAGTGAGGGGTGGGGAGCGCCAGGCAGGGTTGGTTTGGCCTCCACATCTAAGTTAGTGCTGAATTTCAGTCTTCAAGGAGTTCACAGACGCAGCTGGGTTTCCAGCTTTTCCTGAGACATTAGGGTCTCTGGCGGTGCTCGTGGGCCCGCCTTCCTGCCCAGGAACTGTCTGCGGAGCTGAGACGTGGCCACCACCTCTGCACTCACCGGAGTGCTCACCAGGCCTCTGTGACTTTCCTGCCTGGTTGTGAGGGCATCTGAGCTGGCCCTGCCTCCCCTGTGGGAGGCCCAGGCAGTGAGGGGAGAAGACTCAGAAAGGCAGGTGCAGGTGCAGGTGGTCCCCTGGGAGCCAGAGAGGCAGGGATGCCCCGTCCAGCAAGATCAGCGTGGCAGGTGCACAGACGTGGACAGGTAGGAGACGACCAGGTGTGCAGCAGGCTGCTTGCTTCCCTGAAGAGAGGGCTGCATGGGGTTGCTAATGCCGGAGGGCTGGAGAGACAGGTTTTATGAGGAAGGAGGTCTGGGAGAAAGGGAGGGGGCGGAGTGGGCGGCAGCTCCTAGAGCAGCTGAAGATTTAGGGTCCAGAGGGCGGGTGAAGGCCACGGGGCCTGGGAGACCCAGGCTGCTCCGTGAAGGGGACCTGTGATGTCCGGGCTGGCTGCCTGCTGGCTGTGTCCCTGGGAGTGCTGGCCAGGGAACGCCCTGGAATGGAGCCAGGCCTTCCCTGGTGTTGCTGGTCACTCCGCCCCTCCCCACCCCTCCCCCGTCTGCCGAGCACCTGCTCTCCCGCTGCAGGGTCCCCGGTTTTAGTAACCCCAGATGTCTGCAAAGCAGCATTCCTCGGGTGTCTCCTTAAGGCCTTTGCTGAAATGTCAGCCTGTTTGTGGGGCCTTCCTGGTACCCCATTTAAAGATCACATACCCTACCCCAGGGGTGGGCGTTTGGCCTCCTGGTTCAGTTGCCCACTTTAGACATCACAGCGCCTGGATTCAAGAACTGGCCCTGGCTCCCGACTCGAGCAATTTGCTAACGCAGACCCTGGGAGGCTCATGTAGTTTGGTTTCTGCCACCCTCCAGCCACTCCCGTGGGAGACCTGGATTGGGTTTCCGGCTCCTGGCCCCAGTCCTCGCCGTTGCAGACACTGCAGTGAACTGGTGGGTAGGAGCGCTCACTCTCTCAAGTGAAAAAATAAAAAGTTAAAGCCACTGCACACTCTGTGCATGTTTTTTTTTTTTTTAAATAAAGATTTATTTATTTACTTGAAAGTAAAGAGTTACACAGAGAAGGAAAGGCAGAGAGAGAGAGAGATTGTCTTCCATCCACTGGTTCACTCCCCAGCTGGCCGCAATGGCCGGAGCTGTGCTGATCGGCAACCAGGAGCCAGGAGCTTCTTCTGGGTCTCCCACACAGGTGCAGGGGCCCAAGCACTTGGGCCATCTTCCACTGCCTTCCCAGGCCATAGCAGGGAGCTGGATTGGAAGCAGAGCAGCTGGCACTCAAACCAGTGTCCATATGGGATGCCGGCACTGCAGGCAGTGGCCTTACCCGCTAGGCCACAGCACCGGCCCCTCGGCCCCTCGTGTGTGTGTATGTGTGTGTGTATGTGTGTGTGTGTGTGTTTTTTTTTGACAAGCAGAGTGGACAGTGAGAGAGAGAGACAGAGAGAAAGGTCTTCCTTTGCCGATGGTTCACCCTCCAATGGCCGCCGTGGCCGGTGCACTGTGGCCAGCGCACCACGGCCGGCGCATCGTGCTGATCCGAAGCCAGGAGCCAGGTGCAGGTGGTCTCCTGTGCAGGTGCAGGGACTAGGACTTGGGCCATCCTCCACTGCACTCCTGGGCCACAGCAGAGAGCTGGCCTGGAAGAAGGGCAACCGGGACAGAATCCGGCGCCCCGACCGGGACTAGAACCCAGGGTGCTGGTGCCACAGGTGGAGGATTAGCCTAGTGAGCCGTGGCGCCGGCCTCCCTCTTGAGTGTTTTTAATCAGCCTCACCTACCTCCGAAGCACTTGTTCACACCTGACGTGGTGTGCAGCTGCCATTGGCGGAGTGTCCGGCGTGCGGGCCCCTGAGGGCAGGGACGCGCGTGCGCTGTGGACTGGCCAGGTGCCAGGCATCATTGTGGGCACTGACAGCCGAGAGCGGAGGCACCTGGTGGTGACTGCCGCAGGCTGTTTGTCATTCTGTGTGTCTGGGCCAGGAAAGATGCATTTGTTTTTCTTTTGAAGAATATAGGATTTGGTTCACAGAGAGCAAAAAGGATTTTCCTTCAGTTTGAGAGCAGATCACAGATAAAGGGGCTTAGATTACCTTTCTCGGTCTGAATACGAGAGCGCTTCAGAAAGTGTGGGAAAATGGAAGTAGCGGTAGGTCTGGGGTGAGCGTGGTGCCGTGGCTGAGGTGCCGGCTGAGACGTCCACATCCCGCGTGGACGTCGCGGTGAGTCCCGGCTCTGCTGCTGGGTCCAGCTTCCTGCTGACGCTGCGAGGCCATGGTGGTGGCTCAAGTCCCCAGCCCCCTGCTATCTGGCGCAAAACCCAGATTGAGTGCCCAGCTCCTGCTTCCGCGTGGTCCTGCCCTGGCTGCCGTGGGCACCTGGGGAGTGAGCCAGCCGAGGGGAGATCTCTGTCCGTCTGCTTTTCGGATTTAAAACGAGATCAATTTATTTTGGCACAAAAATTTTGAAGTGCACGTGTGGTGTTTCCATCTTGCACGCGTCCCATGAGCTTTCCTGCGCGTGGATTCCGAAATTGTTTTGCACCATGACAAGCTTACCTTTCCGTTTCTTTTTTCCACAAACCTTTTGTAGCACGTTGTATGTCGGAATAGCTAAGACGTAGGGCTTCCGTTAGCTCTGACTCTGTTCTCAGTGCTCCATGAAGCTCTCCACACCCTCAGACGCCAGCCAATGGCAAACCCGAAGCAGCAGGGACCCCTGAGGGCCCATGCTGGTCATTACCCACCGAGTGACGTCAGCCTGGGGGATCAGGTGGCCTGAGTCAGGCGGGGGACAGCCTCAGCCCTGGGCACGGGCTGCACGTCTGCCTCAGCATCTAGGGCACTAACCACTGCTCCCTCCTCCTCTCCTAGGCATTTGCATCAAGTGTGGGCTTGGCATCTACGGAGCGAGGCAGGCGTGCCAGGCCATGGGGAGCCTGTACCACACCGACTGCTTCACCTGTGACTCCTGTGGTAGGTGGCCTCTACCCCAGGCCCTTTGCATGCCTTGTACTGCATTCCCACGCACAGGCACCAGGAGACCCCTGGGGCCTGGAGAGGGAGCTGCCGGGCCACTGCGGAGCCCTTAGCTGGCTGCCCCAGGGACCAGCTGCCTTGCTGGTCATCAGCTTGGGCACCTGCATCCTGTCTCTGTAGGTGCTGATGTCACTCGGCTGCTTGGGAGGGGTGGGAGCCGGTGAGGACCTTGTGCCTGGACACGCAGAGGGCTGGGACTCCTTTTTCCTGCAATTAGTCTTTTCCTCCCAATGTTAGACACAATGTAAGCTGAAAATGTGGTCATTTAACCTGGACAAAATAATAAAAAGTAAAGAAGCAGCCACGATCCCAAATCCCCCGTGGATTTCCCCACTGTTGCTGCAGGCCCGGCGCCCCAGGGGCGTGTTTAGCTATCTGAGTGAAGCACTGTGACGTTCTGTGCCGTGGAAGGCACCGCTGCAGGTTTCTCTCCGATACCCGGCTCTCTAATCAGCAGATCCGCACTTCCTGCTGTGTGGGTTTCAGACATCTGCTTCCCTCTGGCCCTATGGAATCCCGTGTCTCATGTGGGCCGTGACGGCAACTTTGTAAACAGTGTTCCGCGCCGGGCCAGGAATCTGCGTCATTCCGCGTTTTCCGCAGTCTGCGGCTTTCCTTTGAGTTTCCCTCCTTGCACGCCTTGCTCTGTCGTATCTTCCGGCTGCTTGCCCTCAGCTGTCCGGCTGTGTCAGGTGTTCTTCCAGGCCCCTGCGTGGGGGACAGACGATGCTGACCCTCTGTGCTGCCGCGCCTGCACCTGTAGTTTTGAATGTGAAAGTCTAATTTGTTCAGGTTTATGGTGAGAATACATCTCCTAGGGGAGTGCTTTGTCTTTGTCTTTTGCTTTTCTTCTTTTTTTATTTGAAAGGCCAAAGTTAGAGAGAGAGAGAGAGAGAGAGGTCCTCCATTTGCTGGTTCATTCCCCAGATGAGTGCAACAGCCAGGGCTGGGCCAGGCTGAAGCCAGGAGCCTGGAACTCCATCCAGGTCTCCCATGTGGGTGCAGGGGCCCAAACACTTGGGCCATCTTCCACTGCTTTCCCAGGCGCATTAGCAGGGAGCTGGATGGGAAATGGAGCAGCCAGGACTCAAAGTGGTACTCATATGGGATGCCAGTGTCACAAGCAGAGACTTAACCCCCTGTACCACCGTGCCAGCCCCTTTCTCCCCCAACCCCTTCCACAGTCAAAGAGAGGGAGGGGCCGGTGCTGTGGCTTAGTGGGTAAAGCTGCAGTGCAGTTGAGACCCGGCTGCTCCTCTTCCGACCCAGCTCTGCTGTGGCCTGGAAAGCACTAGAAGATGGCCCAAGTCTTGGGCCCCTGCACCCATGTGGGAGACCCGGAAGAAGCTCCTGGCTTTGGATCAGTCCAGCTCCAGCCATTGCGGCCATCTGGGGAGTGAACCAGCAGATGGAAGACTTATCTCTCTCTCTCTGCTTCTGCCTCTCTGTAACTCTACCTTTCAAATAGATAAATAAATCTTTAAAAAAAAAAAAAAGAGGGTGGGAGAGACAAGGAATACTTTAAAAATTTTAAAGAAAGTTTTAAGTTTCTCTTAATAACAGTTAAATTGTGATAATTACATATTGTATACATGTACTGGGTTATAATATTGTAGCTCCCCCGCTAAAAATACTGTAGCCCATCAGTAAGTTCAAATAAAGTATCAGTTAGAAAATCAAAATAAAAAAATTAAATTGAGGCAATTCAGACGCTGAATGGGATCCGATATCTGTGTTCTGCGGGCGCTCCTACACGCTCGGGGCCTTGTGTCCCTGCCGCGTGTGTGGTCATCGGTGTCTGCGGGCGCTCCTACACGCTCGGGGCCTTGTGTCCCTGCCGCGTGTGTGGTCATCGGTGTCTGCGGGCGCTCCTACACGCTCGGGGCCTTGTGTCCCTGCCGCATGTGTGGTCATTGGTGTTCTGTGTGCTGCACACTGTGTCCCAGTTTTGTCCAGGTCAGGTCCCCTCAAGTTGACTCCTGTGCCCCTCCGGTTTGCCCCCTTCAGTCTTTGAGTGCTTCTGTATTCTCGGCACAAGATGTTCCTGATCTGTTTTCTTTCCTTCTTTTTAAAAGACTTATTTAAACTCTATCTATGTATGTATCTATCTAATCTAAGTGACAGAGAGAGAGAGAGAACTTCCATCCACTGGTTCACTCCCTAAATGGCTGTGACAGCCAGGGCTGGCCCAGGCTCCATCCAGGTCTCCCATGTGGGTGGCAGGCACCCAGGCGCTTGGACCATCTTTTGCTGCTTTCCCAGGCGCATTAGCAGGGAGCCAGCACTTGAACCGGCGGTGCAGTATGGGATCCTGGCATCGCAAATGGTGGCTTAGCCCACTCCATGGTGCTGGCCCCTCCTGTTGCTCTTTGTCTTTAAACACTCAGGTGACACCCACCTTGCCCCCGTAAGTGGACCCCCGCCATGGCTGCCCAGCTTGCGAAGTGACTTCTCACCCTGCAGGGTCGAGTTGCCGGTTCAGGAACTTGATCTGGACGTGTTCCCTAGTCTGCTCCTTGGGGCTGGTCGGCTCTGCCCCGCGCTGCTGCAGGTGTCGGCAGCTCCCCCTCGATACTGCTGACTAGAGATGCATCCGGAGAACGGGCCGTCGTCGGGCGTGGATACTCAGATCCCAGATGGGGCTGTGAGCTTTCTTGTGGAGCTCCTCTTTGGACGCGTGTTTTCATTTCTCTTGGGTAAAGCCCGAGGAGTGGAATTTCTGGGTCAGAGGGCGAATGTATGTTTAACTTTATAAGAAACTGCCAGACTCTTGTCCAGAAGGGCTGGGTTGTGCCGTTTTACTTTCCCGATGGGAGCGAGCTTAGCCATTCTAATGGGTAGAAGGGGGATTGTGGTTCTAATTTGCATTTCCCTGGTGACTTAATGGGTAGAAGGGGGATTGTGGTTCTAATCTGCATTTCCCTGGTGACTTGCGAGGCTAAGTGTTTCTGTTTACTTCCTGACCAGGCCTCACACATCTTCCTCTGTGAAGTCAGATGGAGGCTTTTGCCCATTTTTTTTTTAATTGGGGTTATTTATTTGTCTTTCAGTTACTGAGGCGGAGGAACTTACACACACCCCTATGTCCAGCATAATTTTTCATAATTGTCATTTTCCACAAACTTTTTGAAGTTCTCTTGTATATTCTGAGTACAAATTGTCTGTCAAATGTATGTTTTGTGAATATTTTTCCCTAGTCTGATTTTAAAAAGTGTTTCTAAAGGTGAGAAATATAATTTCTTCCTTTTTTTGTTTAAAGATTTATTTAATTATTTGGAAGAGTTACAGAGAGGGAGAGGCAGAGACAGAGAGGTCTTCCATCCATTGGTCCACTCCCTGAATGGCCGCAATGGCCAGGACTGGGCAAGGCCAAAACCAGGAGCCAGGAGCTTCTTCCAGGTCTCCCACGTGGGTGCAGGGGCCCAAGCACTTGAGCCATCTTCCTCTGCTTTCCCAAGCATATTAGCAGGGAGCTAGATGGGAAGTGGAGCAGCCAGGACTCGAACCGGCGTCCATAGGGGATGCTGGCACTGCAGGCAGTGGCTTTACCCACTACACCACAGTGCTAGCCCCAATTTCTTTTTTTAAGATTATTTTTATTTGATTTTAAAAACAGAGTTCCAGAGAGAGAGATCTTCCGTTCGCTGGGGCTGGGCCAGGCTGGCTGAAATCAGGAGGTTTTTCCGGGTCTCCTACCTGGGTGCAGGGGCCCAAGCACATGGGCCATATTCTGCTGCTTTCCCAGGCGCATTAGCAGGGAGCTGAATTGGAGGTGGAGCAGCCGGGACTGGAACTGGCGCTGAGCCACGATGCCGGCCCCTCCGTGTCCATCTGGAAGGCAGCTCCTCCTAGATGCGCTTCCTGCCATGGTTCTCCCTTGTGTTCTCTCATGGGTCGTTGCATTGTTTCTTTGAAATGTTTATTATTATAAACACATTGCATCACGCAGCTTCTCTGCCGGGGAGCGGGGAGCGTGCGGAGAGAAGGGAGCCGGGCTTCTCCCCTGGCTGCAGCTCCAGGCCCCCTCTGACCCCGTCCCTGCAGGGCGCCGGCTCCGCGGGAAGGCCTTCTACAGCGTGGGCGAGAAGGTGTACTGCCAGGAGGACTTCCTGGTGAGTCCGCGCCCTGCCCGCGGGAGCAGGCCGGGGGCAGGTGCTGGCCGGGCAGCGAGAGCCCCCTGGTCACACGCCACCCCGGCTCCTGTGTCCCTCCCAGTACTCCGGGTTCCAGCAAACGGCTGACAAGTGCAGTGTGTGTGGACACCTCATCATGGAGATGGTGAGACCCTCCCCGGCCTCCCAGAGCCCCTGGGCCGCGGGCAGAGCTGGGGAGCTGAGCGGAGCCTGCCTCCCAGGCTGACCTGGCAGCGCCTCCACCCCCAGATCCTGCAGGCCCTGGGCAAGTCCTACCACCCGGGCTGCTTCCGGTGCTCCGTGTGCAACGAGTGCCTGGACGGGGTGCCCTTCACGGTGGACGCGGAGAGCAACATCTACTGCGTCAGGGACTACCACACGTGAGTCGCGGGCACCACGGCCCTGCTGTCCGTCCTGGCCTCTTCCCTCCTGCCTCCCCCGGGCACTGTGCTCGGGGCGGGGCCCAGAGCCCCTGTCTCAGGTGCTTCAGCGCCAGCCTCCTTGAGGTGGGGGCCTCCTGCCTGCCCTGCCCTGCCCTGCCCGCTCCCAGGGCCGGGCCGGGCCTCTTCTGCCTGGAGGAGGGGGTGGGGGCGATGCCTCTGCAGACCCTTTCTCTTGCCTGTCTGCTGCCCAGCTAGGCAGCTGACCCACCTCCCTGGCCGTGGCTCCGGGCTCTGATCCTGGGATGCTGTCTGGTAAAGGGTTAGAGTCAGGCACACAGCCTGGTAGTCAGGGTGGAGGCAGGTCTGGCAGGCATCGGGGGCAAGGATCACGTGGGAAGCATGAGGGAGACAGGTGGCCATCCTGGAGGAGGTGAGGGGCCCAGGTTGACAGGGAGCCAGGGGGAAGGCCAGCACCAAGAAGGCCTGGTGGAAATGGCACCTGCCCACCCACACCGGGAGAGTGGGCCTGATGCTCGGCCCTTGTCCCGGGACCACTGTGGGAGGACCTGTCCCTGTGCCCTCTGTCTCTGGTCGCTCAGCCAGTCACTGCTGGTTTCCTTTTTCTTCCAGGGTTTTCGCACCAAAATGTGCCTCCTGTGCCCGTCCTATCCTCCCTGCACAGGTAGGAAGCAGTCGCCGGCCCCAGGTTTTGGGCCACGATGGGAGGGAAGAGCGGCCGCTGTGGCTCTGTAACCCTCAGAGGCATGGGGCGTCCGTTGGGCCCGTGCCCGTGGGGGCACTTGCCCCTGGCATGAGTCAGCAGGACATGGTGGCCTCTGTCACCCAGCACTCCGCCTACCACCCTCAGCCCCATGCTCCACCACTGGGCTGATCGCTGGGTCTGCTCAGCTGTGCAGGCCAAGGGTGGGGGCGCTGCAGATGAGCATGGGGCTGCCCGGGGCCCTGGGTCTCCCCACACATGCTGGTTGTGTCCGTGGCTGGTGTGCCTAGGGAAGCAGGCGTGGACGTAACACACAGACGCCCACCAGCTCTCACATGGTGCTGTCGGCTATGATCAGGGAAGGTGCCCCAGGGCAGGTGCACGCGTGGTGTGCGCCTACCAATGCCCGGTCCAGGCCCGTGTCAGGGCTCACCTGGGCGTGAATGCCCAGCTGCCGTGCTGGGACCCCGTTGTGCAGCCGTGTGCTCGCACGCGCCGCTCACCCCGAGTCCTGCGTGCCTGTTGTGTGTGAACCCGTGTGTCCCCACAGGGCTGTGAGACGACCATCCGTGTGGTGTCCATGGACAGGGACTACCATGTGGAGTGTTACCACTGTGAGGTAAGCCTGACGGCCCTGCCCGGCCTCCTCCCTCCGTGGCCCGGGGCTGCCGCCCTCCGCCCCAATCCTCCTCCTGCTCCATGGCATCACCTCCGTCCTGCCTTTCCTTTCCTTTCCCAGCGGGCCCTGTCCCTTCTGCCCAGGGTGTGTCCTCTCAGCCCCTGTTTCCTACTCACTGACTGCCCCGTGTGTGAGGCACCGGGACACGCAGAGAACAGACAGGCCCCGTAGTCAGGGAAAGCCATGTCCACACGGTGCTGCGTGCTGTTATGGAGGGCTGATGGAGCACAGGGGGCCTTGGAAAAGCAAGGATGGCTTTCTGGAGGAGGTGACTGACTCAAGCTGAGACTGACGGCTGAATAGGAGGTAGCTGGGGAGGCGGTGAGAAGGGCCTGACTTGGCGGTGGAAGCAGCAGGTCCTGGGGAGGTGTGGTGTCCTGTTGTTGGAGGGGCGTGCGGGAGCTGAGTGGGACTTTGCCCCGGGGGCAGGGGAGCACCGTCAGAAAACACCCCAGGATTGCATGTGGATCTCAGAAAAAGGTTCTCGCTCCCTGCAGGCACTGAGTCGGAGGAGAGGGCACGGCCGGGGTGGGGTGGGGGCCCGGGACACCGTGGTTCTGGGTCAGGGGAAGGGTGCTTTCACTTGCAATGCACAGACATATAGCAGCTCATAACAGAGCGACACCTCACTATCAGAAAACCTCCACAGATTAGACGTGCAGTTTATCAAGCAAGGCAATATAACTCTGAACACACCAGAGACTAACACCGGGGCATCCCACAACTGTGAGGAGAGGGGTGGGTCACATCAATAGAAGTGAACAACTTCCTCTAACTGAAAAACCAGAGGAAAGATACAGAGCCCTACAGGGGCCTTACACTGGACACATTCTTCCACCCTGGGATTCTGAACAGAGCA